ATTTCTTTATATATTTTTGGTAGAAGAGTTTTAAAAAATTTTATTGGTGCATTATAATTATGCATCATACTGGGATTCATTGTGCCATATTGTACAGGCATATTACATAATCTGATCAATCTCATTCCCTGGTAACTTTCCTTTCCCTCTCCTCCTTCCTCTCCATACACTTACTTAACTGATCCTGTCTAGTATTGTTATCATTATTTTAATTAGTGCATTACACACACACACACACACACACACACACTCACGTGACTTCTTGTGGTGTATCTGTACACAGACATATTGCACTTGTAATTTGGTAGACTTCATTCCCTAGTTCTTCCCCCAGCCCTCTCCCTCCCTCTCCATCTCCTTCCTCTCCTCTACTGGTGTATTTATTTTGCTGTGAACCACTTGTTGATTTTCTTTGCTCAATTTTTCTTCTGCTGGGTGGTTACTCTTTTTTTTTCCTTAATACAGACTTATAGGATTTTTTTTTCAACACTAAGGATTGAACCCAGGGCCTCACTGAGCTACCTTCCCAGCCCTTTTTAAAGTTTTACTTTGAGACATGGAACTCACCATCCTCCTGCCTCAGCTGGGATTACAGGTGTGTGCCACCACACCCAGCAATTGGTAGGAATTCTTTTTAAAAATAAGAAATTAGCTTTATTTGCAGTAAATTTTATAGCCACAATTTAAAGTCTTGCTTTTTCCATTCCTGTTTACAACATAAGATGCATAAAGCAAGACCGAAGCAGACATTTCCTTAAGGCCTCTGGACGTTATAGAATACTCACAAAGGCCTCCTTCCAGGTGTCTTCTCTGAGTACTGGAATGGTTTCCTTTGGTGTCATATAAATCTTTTATTCTATTGGTTTTCTAGATCCTGCCCAAGTGTCTCAACACTATTTATTGAATAATATATCTTTCTTGTTGCATTTATTTTCTTAATTTTAAGAACTAAAATTAACATATTACACATCTATGAGTGAATAGTAGTAGGTACTTTCTAGTTTTACTAAACTCTATGAAAAGGCTCAACAAATAACTGTCCATTTTACATCTTAATTAATTTAACTTTGCTTTAATACACTATGGAATTACCTGCAAGAAAATGATGGCCAGCTCCTTTTCCCAGGCTTCTGTGAGCACACTTGCCCACTCGGGTCTCTTTGAGTCTCATACTCTATTTTTTGTTTTGTTTTGTTTTGCTTTTTTGGTACTGGGGATTGAACCTGGGGACACTCAACCTCTCAGCCACATCTCCAGCCCTTTTTATATTTTATTTAGAGACAGAGTCTCACTGAGTTGCTTAGCACTTGCTAAGTTGCTGAGGCTGGCTTTGAACTTGTGATCCTCCAGAATCAGCCTCTTAAGCCTATGGGATCCAGGCATGTGCCACTGTGCCTGGCAGTCTCATACTCTTTTGTCTTATCTCACGAGCACCTTATTTTGCACTTTTATCTTCATGGATGGCCTTCACTATACAATTTAGGATTTTATTATAGTTGTATACTGTGGATTAAAAGACTTTCCTGTTGAGAGACCATTTCTTAGATGTGTATGTATCTCCCCAACTATACTTTTTTTCTAAACGTGATTTTTTAATAACTTTGTTTTATTTTTTGTGTGTATATGGTCTGAGAATCCAACCCAATGCCTCACACCTGCTAGGCAAGCACTCTACCACTGAGCCACAACCCCAGCCCCTACCTGATACCTTTTTGTGGACACTAATGGTGACTTATACTTTGTTCTTTATTTTGAGCACTAAATACAGACTTGGACTCAAATAAGGCAGAGGATCATGCAAACTATAAAGACTAAGCATCTAGGGGCTATAGCTGTAGCTCAGTGGTAAACTGTTTGCCTCACATGTGCAAGGCCCTGGGTTCGATCCTCAGCACCACATAAAAATAAATAAATAAAATAAAGGTATTGTGTCCAACTACAACTAAAAATATATTAAAAAAAAAAAAAGACTAAGCATCTGTTGCTTGTTTTTGTTTTTTTTCCCCCCTTGGTACCAGGGATTGAACCCAGGGCACTTAGCCAATGAACCACATCTCTAGCCCTTTTTATTTTGAGACAGGGTCTCACTAAATTGCTTAGGGCCTCATTAAGTTGCTGATGCTGGCCTTGAACTTGCAATCCTCCTGGCCCAGCCTCCCAAGTGGCTGGAATTATAGGCATGTGCCACCACACCCAGCTTGTGGCTTGGTTTTATGCGTGTGTGTACATGTGGGTTTTGTCCTTAAGTTATTCTAGTTTTAGAGCCTCTGGAGGCTGATGTTAGAAAATGCCATATGCCATTTCTTTGCCTTTACCTGTGCACAACGACAAAGGCTCCGGGGGTCAAGGAAGGAAAAGATATATATGGATAACACCCTAGGAAGCTTGGTGGTGAAGTCCAGGGCTTCTGCTGGAATTTTTTCCTGAAGCTTTCGACAGCAGAACTTTTGTTGTGACAGCGAGCAGCGTTCCAACAGACCTGTGAGGATTCTTCTCCGCTGAGAGTCTGTCCATTTGTCAAACTGGAAAAACAAAACGTACATGGAAACCTCCCAATTTGGTCTGATAGTAGATCTTTATTATGAGGAAGAAATGAGAGTGGCATGGAAGGTGAGCTCAGTCATTTACTTCCCATGTACATCATGTATTTCTTCCCAGGTCAATAAATTCCATGTTTGCCACCTACCTGTTCTTTCCCACATTTATATATATGACCACGTGCATGGCCAGCGTGTGTACTCAGAAGTGCTCCTCAGCCCTTGAATTGCATAAGGATAGTAAGCTAACCATGGGCAGAAGCTGAAGCAATATATACGTATAAAATACAATTCCAAGGAAAGGTGCCTGGGCAGCTTCTCTCCCTCCAAATAATTCCTACATTAGCTCATCAGTGCTTAAAACTCCAGGACCAGAAACAAACCCTTGAAGTCACAATTAGAGATAAGGTGTAACAGGACAAGAGCCCTGGTGAGTGGAGTATGTTGGGTTAAATTCTCACTAATGTGTGAATTAACTGATATGGTTGGAGAGTAAAGGTAGGGCCTGGAACAAAGAGTACCGAGGGGAAAAAACCCAAAGAATCCAGAGACTACCCTAAACCAGTCCCAAGACCAAGATGAGAACATGGGAATTACTGAAAACCAAAAGAAAGGCTCTGAGGGAAGAGCATCCACCAGCTGAGGGACCACTTCGCTCAAAGTCTGAACCTCTCTTTTCTTTCCTAACTCACTGCAGAAGAGAAAATTGGAAAGTTGGGCTAGTTGAATTTTTGCATATCATTATATTTCACATATAGATATTTAGCAGTTATCTTCTTATAAATATTTTTAGTTGTGGATAGACACGATAACTATTTATTTTTACGAACCCAGTGCCTCACACTTGCTAGACAAGCAGCTCTACCACTGAGCTACAGCCCCAGCAGTTATCTTTAATCTGACATTTATAATGACTTTGAGTTGTAATCATATAATATACTGCCTACCTAAAAGGGCATATAAGGCAAAAGTTTATTTTTTCAAGGCTTATGAAAAATCAACTTCATTATAGCTATATGATTTATTTTGATAGTTGGTAGGAATACTTCTTGATTAAAACTATTTGCTATTATAGATCTATTCAGTGACCCATGAATCTCACTTTGGAGATTATAATTCAAAGATGGGGGGAAAAAAACCTTGAATAAAATGAGAAAATTAGAGCCTCACTACAAATACCACAGGAATAAAACTGATTCATGTGTGTGTGTTCCCTGTTTCTGCACAACCCATATCTCTACCTCCTACTAAGGGAGACTTATTTCCAGGTCTTTTGGGATGGATTCTTAGAGAAATAAATGGAGAGATACCAGACCAGAATGGCTGGGGCCAGGGAAGAAAGGAGAAGCTGAACTGATCTATAATAAGAGAGCCAAGGGGGAGGGGTGCGGAGATAGAAGCAGAGCTTTGGCTCGATGGGAATTATGGGGATCTTGGCAGCTTTGATTGTGTCTATAGTAGTTACTAGGGGAGTATCAGGGACCAAGAAGCAGACTTGACAAGGATTATAGTGAGTTGGTTTTCTTGTGTGTGTGGTGCTGGGGATTGAACCCAGGACCTTGTGCATGCAAGGCAAGCACTTTACCAACTGAACTATATTCCCAATCCTTGCCATGAGTTTTGAACTGAACCTATGCTTTTTCTTTGGGAGGCAAAATGAAGATTGAAACTACCTTTTTAAAAAATTACTTTTAGGCAGTGCTATGTGACTCCATAGAGACTGACTATATGAGGACTTAGGATGGTCAGGATTACAAAAAAAATATTTCATGAGATAATTACTATCACTGCAAGAAATCAGCGATAACTCAAATGCCAGACAAAAGGGGACTAGCTAAACAAACTGTGCAACATGAGAGGAGGGAGTATAACATTACAGTGGGCTTGGAGGTGAGTGAAGGGGGCTTGGGAGTGTGAAAATATAGGAAAAGCACAATTAAACGCTTTCCAAAATGAAAGAATTTTCAGAAGAGGTTCAGAGGACCTTGAATAAGTCAGGACTTCTACACGTTGGAAGGTATCATTTGGAACATCAACTATGGGCCCCTCAACTTTTGATAGCAAAAAGCTGTGCCCAAAAACCCTAGCTACATAGCCAGAGGTCACTGGACTCTTGTTTTATGGAATTCCTGTTTGGTTTATGCACTTATTTATTTATTTGTTTATTAATATTGGGGATTTAACCTAGGGGCGCTTTACCACTGATGTGCATTCTTCAGCCCTTTAAATTCTTTTTTCTTTAAGAGAGAGAGAGAGAGAGAGAGAATTTTTTAATATTTATTTTTTAGTTTTTGGCGGACACAACATCTTTGTTTGTATGTGGTGCTGAGGATTGAACCCAGGCGGCACGCATGCCAGGTGGGGACGCTACCACTTGAGCCACATCCCCAGCCCCCTTTAAATTCTTTTGATTACTTATTTTAATTTTGAGATAGGGCCTTGCTTAATTGCTGAGGCTGCCTTAGGCTCCCACAAGGCTGAGATTACAGAGGCACCAAGCCATGCTTCCTTTATCTACCTGTCACAGCTCGGTCACGTAGCCCTCGAATTGTGTGTGTGTGTCTGTGTGTGTGAATTTGTCATCATTGAGGTATTGGACACGGGCTGGGAAACATCACCTTAGGTATTCCCTTGCATTCCTGTTCAATTTCAATAAGCATTCCTCTTTTTCTCTCCTTTTTTGAGATGGGGGGTCTCACTACGTTGGCCTCAAGTGATTCTCCCACTCTCTGGAGCAGCTGGAACTGCAGACTTGCACTGTGACCAGCTCAACAGGAGTTGCTCTTTAAATAATTTTAATTACTTTGTCATAGATTCAAGAGTTTTCCATCCATATCAGCTCTTACTTCCCTACCTCCTTCAGAACACTGATTCACAGCTATATAAACCCATGACTCCTGAATTGCAATTCTTAAAAGACTCTAAACCATGTTATTTTTTTTAATATTTATTTTTTAGTTGTAGTTGGACACAATATCTTTATTTCACTTATTTATTTTTATGTGGTGCTAAGGATGGAACCCAGGGTCTTGCATGTGCAAGGTGAGCGCTCTACCGCTGAGCCACAACTCCAGCCCTAAACCAAGTTCTTTTAGTTTCTAAGTTTGCATTGATTAACAAGAGAGAACACTGGGTGTCTCGATCTTAATTTATATTACTCCCTAATACTCACTAGAAATATTTCGTCTAAATTTCCTCATTTATACATCAAGAATGATTATAGCTAAATAAAGGGCTATCGTGAGGATTATTTCAAAACAGTGCATGAGTCACTGTAGGTGACAGCTACAGTGGTGTAGTGTGCCAGAGTGGTGTAAAGATACAATGTAAAAAGAAGACATATATAGAGTATTGATTTAACACTCGAGCAGCCATCTTAAATGTCTCCCTCCACTTAAGCTTTGCTTTCCTGTACTTCCTCTTACAGGAACTCCTCCCAACCCCATTAGTGACCTACCCCATGGTACCATAACCCTAAGCCAATCCCAGAAGGACATGACCCCTTTGCTCTGGAAAACCCCAAGTTGCCATCCACCTAAGCCAATCCCATGCTATTCCCACCCGCCTTGCTCTGACTTAAGCACCCCGAGCCTATCCCATCGCGCCACAGCTACACCTCCAAGCCCCTACCCTACAAAAGCTGAGCACCCGAACATAACATCTCGGGGCTTCTCTCCTCTCTATAGACAAATAAACCTTTGTGTGGCTCTCTGCCTGGTCTCCTTCCTTCATTTCTCCGGATGATTGAGATTTGCTGGTCTGCTTTCCTTGGTGCCCACGTTGGAGGATGAGTTCAGGTTATGGAAGCAGTGATTTTAAATGACTATAAAAGAACATTAGGCTTATAAAATGTGTACTGAAAAAATCTATTAAAAAATGTGAACACTTTGCTCTAGAGATTAAAAAGATAATCACACTGGTTCCTCATTTATCTCCCTGGTGACAATGGTCAAACATCATTTACATTTGGTTTTGATAGGTGTTCTTTGCCTCCAGGGTTAGTCCTTTCTAATTGTGTTTGTTTAGGTTAATAGAAAACTAATTTGCATTCCTCAAACTCCTACCATTCAAGGTGGGTAGGTGACTCAAGAATGCTTAACAGTAGGAGAGATCTGTTTGGGTTTTAGAAGGTGCTTGGAATAACCCAAAAATTAGGAAGTCCTTGGCAGAGCCGACCATATAGGCATCTGATGACCTCCCACAGTTCTTGCATCTCTCTTCCAGTAAAAACACCCCTAACAGGAAAGAAGGCATGAGTCTCCCCTTCTAGCATCTTCTATGGCACCTCCCTTCACGATGCACTCCTAAAGGATGCTGTTTTACAGGGCTTCCCTCCACTCGCTAGAACTGTGAACCTGCTGTTTTTAGAGCATCTGTTACAGGATTCTTGCTGCAGATTGAGGGGGTGAAGAGTTGCTGGAGCTGTTGTCCCCCCATCTCACCCTGGAAGGCAAGAATGTGGCAGGGGAGGGAGTGAGAGAAGGGGGGGTTGTTATTTTGGGGGTTTTGGTTAGACTATGTTACTCTGGTTGAGTTTCCGAGTCCTATTATAAAAAATTCAATCCCACAATTAAAGTATAAAAATGTTCGTGTTTTTAAAGTTTCAAACAGGTTTGGTAAAATCAAACATAAAACTTGTAAACATGTCTCTTCATCAAATCTCACTTCATTCCCCAGAGATAACGACCTTTCAGAAGTTTGATATCCATGCCTTTTTATGTATTCTCTTTCTCTCTCTTTCTCTCTCTCTCTCTCTGTCACTCTCTCTCTCTCTCACACACACACACACACACACACACACACACACACACACACACAACCCCCACTCAATGAAGAAGCAATTAGCTGGGCATGATGCATGCCTGTAATCCTACCTACTTCAGAGGCTGAGGCAGGGGGATCACAAGTTCAGAGCCAGCATCAGCAATTTAATGAGGCTCCAAGAAACTTAGAAAGACCTGTCTCAAAAATGAAAAATAAAAAGG